AATGTCACTGTCTGATCTATCCCATGAAACTGTGAGCCCAAGTGAACCTCTTTTTTGTACACATTGCCCAGGACCAGGTGCACAAAATAAATGAAGAGAGTTCCTATGTGCATGTAAACCAGTTTGCCCTCTGGCCAACAGGTTACACTCTTATGATAAATTTGTTAAAAACAAATAATGACCATAGCACATAACTATTAAGTGTTCATGAGATTGCCTTAGTTTTTAAAAACATTTTACTGTATTTATTTTATGGATTCCAAGCAAAATAGATACTACATTTAATTATAATGTCTTCTTGGACTCTTCCTTTTTTTTTTCTAAATATTTCTTTTTTAAAATTTTTATTTTATTTTATTTTATTTTATTTTTTGGTATTTTATAGAAGGGTCTACAGGATGTTCAGGGTCTCACTATTAGATTGAATTCATAGTGATCTGCCTGTTTACAGTCTCTTAAGAGCTAGGATTACAGTCGCCTGCCACCACACCCATTCTCAATTGTAGTCTCAGCAGGCCCCAGGGGCAGGGCTGGCACAGCAGGCCAGGGGATGGAAACTTCGGTCCCTGTGCCTGCTTGCAGGTGCTCTAATATGCTGACTTATTTGACAGGCCCTTTTTTTTTTTTTTTTTTTTTTCAGTGTATTTGGTTATTGCAGGGTCTTGCTACGTAGCTCGGACTCAGTGATTTTCCTGTTTTCAGCCTCCCTAGCACTGGTATTACAGATGTACGCCACTAGGCCCAGACTTTGTGGCTCACTTAGTCTGCCCTGGTAGTTGGGTTAGCATAGCATGTAATACCAGGGATTGAACCATGGTCCCTTCACTTACCTAAGCTTGCCTAAACAGGCACTTTAGTCAACTGACCTATCTTACCAGCACTTTCTAGGCTTCTCTTGAATATGAAAATTTCTGACTTTTCTTATTTTTGACCTTGAAAACTTTGAAACGTATTTGTCTGTTTTTTTTTATTGTCTCTCTGTTGAAATTTATGTAATTTTTTTTAAAGATACAAACTGCCTATTAAATTTGATGAAGATGGTCAAAGAGTTAAAGTGCAATTTTTGTGGTATTAAGGTAAAATCATGTATTATAAATTATTATTAGTGACAGTAATTTTGATTACCTGAGTTAGCATTTTTCACATTATTCTTTAATAAAATTATTTCTACATCATAGTGTGTAGAAGACAATCACAGTGTAGAGCCCACACTTAACCAGGGAACTGACCTGCTGAGGGAGAAGTAAGAATTTTTCTGAATGAAAGAATTTTGTCACTTTCTCCATTTACACATTCATTCAATCATTTATTTATACCAGTGTTAATCAATGACTAACCCAATATCACTTTATTTTCTGAAATAAGATAGGGATATTTTCCCACAGAGAGTGCTTTTGGTTGACTTTTGTGTCCTTCATATTTGTTTTAATTTACAATTTCATAGTAACAAAATGATATGGAACATTTTGAATGTAATATGATTAAGGGTAACATTTTAGTGGATTTAACTTGTTTCCCTAGGTTGTGATTTTTTAATTTCTTAGTGTTTTTTCCTGTTAGGTAAAATATGGTGAGTAAAAGCATTTGGACATAGGGAAATTACTTTTTCCTCTCTGGGGAAAGTCACTTCTCCTGGAGTTCAGGGCTTATTTTGATAGAGCCTCTGGACATATTTTGAAGTGTTTATTTTCCTCTTACCCTACCAGAACCACCAAGGAATGGTTCTTTACTCCTAAACAATCGACCATCATGGGAATCCATGGACATTAAATCTAGAAAGTCTGAGCTCATCTACATAAAATTGTCCCTAAATTTCTCAGTTACTTTTAGCCAAACGATAGTGCTTTGTCAAATTTGCTATTTAATTATCTTCAAAGCTGATGCCCTCAGTGGCTTCTGCCTCTAGTGTAGATCTCATTTTGCTTGTCAGATTGTGTAATTTCTTTATAAGTGTACTTTAGAAAGGATTATGTCTATATTTTTATTTATTTATGTATTTATTTTTATGTTTTCGGTACAGGGTCACAGTCATAGTGATCCTCCTATTTTCAACCTGCCAAGTGCTGGGATTACAGGACTATACTAACAGGCCTGGTCTGGTGGCCCTGGGGGGCGGGGCAAGCACAGAATGTGCAGCTGGGGATTGAAACACAGTCCCTGAGCTTGGCTAAGCAGGTGCTTAGTCCGCTGAGCTAACTTGATTTAATTTATAAGATAATATCATTTTCTATATACTATTTTAAAATACATCTCCATTTTCATAGATATCTTTGAGTAGATTAGAAAGAGAAAATTTATTTTTTATTTTTATACC